CTCCGCGACGCGCTGGTTCGCCGGCTGACGTGCGCGTGTGTATATCTGCAGAACGCGAGGTAGAGTACTCCGCGTACACCGCCGATGGCCCAATAGGTGGGCAAGCATGTATGCATCCTGAGTATGTCGCCAATGAGCGTTTGAAGTTCATAGATGAACATCAGGAGAACAAGAAGCACGGTACGTACCTCGATGGCATTCCCAGCTCCAGCCCCTTGGAACGGCGTACAAGCATGCGCCTAAAGAAGCAAGCAAGTCAGCGCGCCCTTCATGATGAGCAAGATTGCGTTCGACACGAAGACGTACGGCATCTCCAAGCAATACGACGCGGCCCCAATTATAAGCCGGTAATGGCCGCACAACGTTCACAACCCATTTGCTGACTGACAGGCCTTCCATGCACTACTCAAACACAAACGCCACAGAAGATTGTTGAGCAGATGGGCTAGGCCGAGCGAAAAGACAAGGACGCTCACCGCCACTAGCTGTTGCACTTCGTTCTCCCAGCTCGCAAAGAACCGCGAAAGTTCCCGTGGATCAGCCTGGCTCATCCAAGGCTCGGGATGGGTGGAGCCCTCCTGGGTGTAGTTCATCGTGAAGACGGCGACGTTGATAAGACGTCCTTGGGAAATTGGATAGGCCATTAGATGCTGAGAGCGCGCCGGTCAGCCTCAATCTCGGTGATGGCACGTCAATCATACCTTGTCCTTGCCCAGGTACTGATAGGGCGCAGACAGCGCGCGGTGACGAGGTGCTATAGCCACTAGCCTCTCGGCCGGTAGGACGACACGGTAGGCAATGGCGCCACTGAACCGTGGGTGTATGCAATCGCGTAATGCGGCAGCTTCGGCAGCCTTACCCTTCCCTTCAGCGTTCACGGCCATTTCCTGCATCATTCCGGCGCGGACAGCGCTCTTGATTCCGTCCGCTCCAACGAGTATGTCGCATACAGCCTGCGTTCCATCGGAAAACCCGAGACGAATCGGTTCGTGGGTGTTGCCAGGCTGACTGTAGCGGGTGAGGCGCTTGGAGGTGTACTTGTTGACCCGACTGGAAAGGCGCCGAAGCAGCACGCTCTGAAACTCTGGACGGTGTAGTGTTATCAAGCCACCTAAGGACAATGTTGATTCAGATGTCACGTCCTAAATACAGTGACGCATGGAGAACCTACCGCGGGTAACCAGAGTCGCGAAGTGGTGACCTTCCCGCTGGTCCGCCTTACGGTAGTTGATACTGGGAACTATCGCAGTGGATCAATACACAAAACGAGCTAGGACATGTAATGCCTTGACTTACTGGGCGCGTCTTGGAATTGGCCAACGACTTGAGCTAGATCTGGTTCAAGCCCCATGCTTGCTAGTACACGTCGAGGTCGCCACCACATTCCGACGCCAGCACCAACCTCCGCATACTGGGCGGCCCGCTCGTAAATGTCAATCTGTATATCAGGATACGCAGATAGCGCGACGGCTAAAGTGAGGCCTGCGATGCCGCCGCCGCTATGAGGCCGGCGGTTAGAAACTCGTATGATATGCAGCTTGAGCGACGTCAATCTCACCAGATCGCGACTCGTAATTTGGGCTGCGTAGCCATGGTAAATAGCGGTGACGAGAAGAAGAGGAGCGGGGCACGCTTGTCGAGCAGCTGTAGGGATCCATGTTTATATTCATCTGCGGAGACCGAACTCCACGACAGGACCGCGCGTCTTAATCCAATGAATGGCCGTTTGTCAAAGGCCGTTGATTTCGCAGATTTAACCTCGGCCTCGCCATGGGCGCAGATGACCATGAGACGCTGCAATCGCCGTGCAACGGACAAAATGTACGATGAAGGCGGACGAGCGTCAAAAGCGACGATAATTGAGTGCTGCGCATGCGCGTGGTGCGTCGTTTACTTGCGACGCACTGGAAGGCGCTTGCCGTTTTCGCTGGTACATGCACTACAAGCGAGTCAGACGTTCAACATCGAAGCAAGGTGCACAAGCAAAGACGGCTGCAACTACGCCAGGTGGGGCGACCCGGAGGCAGGAAATGGGATGGGCGGCGTGCATCCATGCTCTTCGACGACATGTAGCTAGCCAGATCTGCCAGCGGCGGCCGTGGACGATATTTGTAAGAAAGGAAACAAGCCGCATATGACGCAGGTGAGAGAGGGGCATAGCAACAAGGAGGACCACTGTTGTACGGACATCACGGAGTCAACAACATGTCCTGTTCATGACGCTCTAGACGGCGCGCCATTCCAAGATTAAGCTGGATGAGTGTTCGTAGATATCCCCACCTTGTTGAGCTTGTGAAAGGCCCGCTCAGTGACTCGGCTTTGCCACGATGGTCTCTGACTACTAGCGCCTGCGTGGACAAAGCCTTGCGAAGGTCGGAGTGGGTTTGTATTCAATTCCGAGTCCAGTGCCGAGTAGAGAGCGTCAGCCTATACAAGATATAGTCGCTATATGAACTTACTCGGTCGATACAGGCATCATATGGGACCCCGGGACTTGTGCCATGCTGAATGCCGGTCGTTTGTGTTTGATCACCGGATGGTACCCGCGAATCGTAGCACACATGCCATATAGTAGCGTATCTTGTCACTTCTACTACGCCAACTATGGACGACGTTCTATTAGTCCTCGATGCACAAGAGCAAGAGAGGCCAGCGGGAGGCGTGCATCGCGGGCGCCGCGGGTTATCTGCCACAAAACCAAAACTAGAAATCCGATAACTGCCAGGGCGTTCATTTCGAAACGCGGGTCGCCACACGCCACCATCTCGAGGCGGACAGCTACTCTTCTCTGACTTGTTGCTATGCTATCCTGGCTGAAACCGTCACAGAAGAATGCCAAGGATGGCGAACATGCCACGAGTCGCGATCTTGATGCGACGGCCATGGCTTCTTCAAGTAATGTGGGCGGTGAGGCTGCAACTGGCTCGAATGGGATACCGTCTATCCCCGAGGCAGCTACCTTAGCTGCTTCCAAGTCGGAGCCTGAACGAGCGGAGACTTCGGCTCCGGATAGACCTACTGCCGCAGCAGCGATGCCATCTGCATGGGAGCCCAAGCGGCGCGCCCTTACTTCCGCTCAGAGCCATCCTCATGATGCGGTCGTCGCGGAGCTGCGCGGGCAACGTCCTGACCATGACACTTCTGCACGCATGGATCAGGTCAATTCCGCACCGCTACAGAGTGCTGACACACTTCCTACTGCTCCGAGTGAGGCTCCGGGAACAGTGATGCCAGAACTTGACCGGCTATTCGACCCGCATACGGGAGCAACCTTGGGTACCTTCACACCACCTCAGATGGCGAACGGACAGGCCAGGGAAGAACTATGGGCGCATCTTGCGCGCATCCGTGCATTGCAAGCGGAGATCGCTGGATTACATGTACAGCGTCACCATCTGTCAACGAGAGATATGCTCAATATCGATAGGTCACCATGGAGGGCATTGGTCTCAATGAGAAAGCCATGCATATGCGCGTACGCGGTACGAGAACTCGCACGCGAAGCGGTAATGTCGGAGAACGGCTTGATCTCGGCGGTAGCGAAGGGGAGTTTGATGCTGAGGGTAGGGAGGAGGCGGACAAGGAGGAGGCACGTTTACGGGAAGAACGAGATCGAGAATTCGAGACGGCAGAAAACCGCTTCGACGGACGCAAAGAAGGGATCGACAAGATTATGAACAAGGTTGGTGAGCACGCTGTTGATGGTCGTGAACCATAAGTGCTGATCTATCGTCAGCTTGGAGAGCTAGCCCAGGCCTTGGCGACCTTTCATGCACTGGAAACACCTGTTGTGGACTTCGCCGCGTCCCGATCAAATACATATTCAGATGCGGCCGCCTCTCCGACTTCGGATCGATCTTTTTCATCCCCATTAACCCCCGGTATCCGACTCCATAGTCGTGGCCCGCTGAGGATGGCTTCGGGCGACACCTTTGCGGATAGCCCTTCTGATGAGGCGTACACGGGCCCTATACGGGCACCTGACAGACGGCCATAACTTCTTCTACAGTCCTAGAAGGGGTTATCAACAATGAGAAGCTGAAGCCACCCTTGACCTCAAGTCACTCGATCTTGACCACACTCGCCGAATTAGCCCTTTACCACCGGCGTAGCGTAAGACTCTGATGTTGCCTCTCGCGGCCTTCAATAGGTCGTACTTACTACCCGTCATGACCGATCACATACAGTACTATCATGCACTCTTACAGTAGAAGTACTGGTCCCGACTACTTGAAGGAAGCACCCTCATACGTATGCAAATCTCATGCGCCACTCGCTGTGTGAGCGTCTTCGCCCAAAACAAGGCCGCTTCTCGTGTGGCGCATCCCTCAAAGAATCCTATTGACCACGCAGAGGGCACGAGTAGCGGGGTAAGTGGATTGAATGGCGGTAGATTAGGGGCCTTCGATCGAGGGTATACTGTACAATATCCTCACATCGCGCGCAAGGGTGATGTTGAGGGACAGCGTGCGCAGTAACCAACACGAGACGGTATCGTACAGGTATCTGAGCGTGACATTATCACAAGGGGGAGTAATGGGGCTGCCGGCAGCAAATAGTATCAAAGTATCGTTGAGATTATGCATATTCCAAACACCGTCCTCAGAAGACAAACACAAATATACAGGTATATTGCAACCATGGTAGACGGAATGCTTTGCACTCATAACATGTGAAGAACCCAGATATTCACAGAGAAAGTGGACCAAGGATAAAGAAAACAAACAATACCTACTTGAATTGCCGTCGCCGAGACGACCGACGTTCAGCCTCCCAGAAGGGCCAGCGCAGACCTGAGCTCCTTCCGCGCCTGCTCTGCATCCTCGTAATCGAGGGCAGAGATCGCGAACCGACAATGCTTCTGCGCCTTTGCGATGACTGATGGTGTCAGCTCAGGTGGAGGACTGGGTTGCGCAGGCGGGGGTGGAGGTGGGGCGTAGCCATAGTGAGGAGCGGATTGTGCGCTGTAATACGGGGGAGCCGAAGGAACGGGGAACGACTGAGATGCATGAAGCGGCAGGCCGGACGGGGAGATGGCGGACGGCGGAGCAGACGGTCCGAGGCTCGCCGGCGTCGCCGATGCACCTTGTACATTCTGCGTCACGGACGGCGTGTTGGCGGCGATGAATAATTGCGTCGAGGGCGGCGAATCGCGTGGCACGAAGTGAGTTGGCGACCCGATTCGCGCAGGAGACCGCGATGAGACCGAGCCCATCGAATTCGTCCTATTTCGGGTGTGGTTCGTACCAGTGCTGACCGACGGTGGAGACACCACCGATCCTGCGCGACGCCGCCGACGCGACGATCCCGACCCCGCGGAGGACGGCGGTGAAGGCGGTGCACCTGAGGCCACGACGCCGTCCTCTTCTCCAACGGTCTGGAGAGGCCCACTAGCCAGGGTAGCAGAGGAGGAGATAGAGGCCGGAGGGGGTTTGCTGGTGGCAACGCCGCTTGACGCGGTTGATCTGGGATCACCCGCAATGGCTTGGGTGCTGAGAGTCTGAGAAGACTCTGCTGCTCGACGCACGGCATTGTAACGGTCGTCCTGTGCGGCAGCTGCTGCTGAAGACATCTCGGGCGGAGGAGGTGGAAGTGTAGGAACCGTCGATGACGAAGGGGCAGGAGATATCATATGAGGAAACGATTGAGAGGGTGCGATCTCGGGTGGAGTGGTAGCATCGACACCCGCGGGGCCTGCAGTCGGGGCACGCCCTTCCCGCAGGGCCTTCGCGATGTCAGCGGCTTTCCACTTCGCATAGCGCGCTTTGTCCGCGTGCTGTACAACAAGCGATCGTCAGACACGTGTCACGTAAGGAGCGAATAGAGGGTGGCCCGGCGTGCACCCGGCAAGAAGGGGTCGGAGTAACTTACCGATTCCCAGAGTTGCTTATCTTCGAAAACCTTCATGACCTCGAGAAATGTGGCGGCGGCCAGAAACTTCTTTGCGGTACTACGATTCGCCTTGCCATTTCGGTCCTCATTGTCCGCAACATTGAAGACTCGAAGCGCAAAATCTTCTACGTATACACCGGCGACCGACTCCACATTGATAGCATCCGAAGGTCCGATCGTTGCGCGGAGGTTCTCCAGGGCAGTGAGCAACGTCGACAGGAAATTTCGGTTAGCAGGGCCCAGCGCCTTCAAAGAGATGCCTTGCTGGGCGGCGTAGTATGCACCTGGAGATGAATGAGTGCATGCGAAGCTACCCAATAATAAACACTTACACCAATACGCGACCACAGGATCCTGCACCTTTAGCTCGTCCGCGCGCTGCAGATACGGCGTGATGGACTTTAGGTCTGCAGGTACAGGCGGAAGTCCGAGATAAGACTGATTAGACATGGCCGAGATGGGTTGAGCTATAGCAGAACAAGTCTGCGACTCAGGGCGAGGGTGGAGGGCACGAAGCAAGAAGTCAAGAGTGCGCGAAGACGGCTTTTATTACGAAAGTTCTACGAGGTTCGTCAGATGCTGATAATCGCCGGATAGTGAGCCCTAAGCGGTGCCGCACGCGTGAGCGCCTGTGCTCCTGCTGAACGCGCGGGTAGCGCGTGTCTAGGAGTGCAGTAGCGTTCGCCGTGAACCTTCAAACCAGGGCCGCCGTCGGCTCCAACGAAACGTGGACAAACACTCACGATTAGGTTCAAGGCAGCTGGGGTCTACACGAGACGATAGATAGCGAGAACGAAGCAGTAGGACTATAGTGTATACGGGTTGGTGGAAGGTATATGGAAGGAGCATGCGCCCTCGCTCCGAGCAGTTGAGCGGAGAGGACAAAACGCGATCACATGAGATAGTGGCAGTGCTCTCGCCTACGTCATCCCGATGGACAAATATGCCGAACAATGAGCATCTCGCGGGATTGCATCGGTAGGACAAGAAATAAAGATATTCAATTCAATACCGAGGTCTCCATTACAGTTCCATGAACAATCCACTATTGAGTATAGAGGCGTAACGTAGGGCAGTCTACGCGAGACGCGAGGGAGAAGTACATTGGGGTGTCGGATTCGTTTAGTGTAAAGGATACAGTGAAAGGGTGTCCACGCCCATATGCAAGAACAGTTCAAATCACCAATGCCCTAGTTGAACGAGCTCACGATCGAAGCCCAACTCTAACCAGTTCTCAACTCCGTCCACCCGCGCCTTGGATTCCGTCAAACCTTGAAAGCCCACCCTATGGTACACACCCGCGGCTGCGGGGTTATCGTGGGCGACGTAGAGCACGACAGCGTCTTTGTTCTTCAACAGCTGCTGGCAGACGTGCCGTACGAGACGCTCCGCGCAGCCGCGCTTGCGCCATCGCGGGTTGGTATACACCTTCGTGATTCCAGCGACATGTGCGGAAGTACGAGTAACGGCGACGAGGGAGGCCAAATCGGATGACTGACCAGGGCGGTGCACCTCGAGGACCCACACAAGCCCATGCTTAATGAGGTAGTGAGCCTCTTTAAGCGCCGTCTGCTCCGTTAAGGTGAACGGTTCCTGATGAACGATTGGATCAGCCTTGATAACCTATCAACGGCGGATTCGAGACGTACCGATGTTGCCGCAAACCCATGGCAAAGCTCAGCGACAACGTGCAGATCCCTCTCCTCCGCGAGTCGCGGCACATAGCCCAAATCCGGAAAGAGGGTCATTCTCCGGCGCGTGATCGTAGTTGGCGTGCAGTAAGTTAACTTCGCCGCGTAGTAGGGCTCGTTGTAGAAGCCGATATCGGTGCGGTAGGTCCACATCTGAGCGAATTCCCGCGTGATGGCCTCGGGCGCAAAAATGGAGAAGACGCGGGAGGCATCGACCTTCGCCAACAATCGCTGGATCAGGGCTTCCAGCCTCGAACGCAACCATTCCGGGATGAGATGCCGGCTTGATGTGTTGGCAAAGATGAAGAGAGGATACGAGCCCATGGCACCTTCGGTGCACGATAGAACAAGATCCAGTGTCTGGCGATCGTCGCCCGAGGCGATGTGGGTCGAACATGTTATCCAGAACTGCTGGTTGCCATCGTAGAGACAAGACTTCAGAGCATGCGGGTACATGATGTTGGCCTCGCGCTCTCGTGTGCGGAAAGCGTCCCAGACAGTAGAGGGTAGTTTGGAAGCGTGGTCGTAGTCACGAACGACGTGCTTGTAGACGAGGGCAGGCATGGTGGGCTAGGGAGAGGCGGATGACAGTATCAATAGCCTCAAACGCAGTGCTCTTTATACCTGGAACGCGGACTACCCCGATACCCATCGTCAGATGTGTTCACACAGAGAGATTAAGACTGAACGCCGATTCACTCCGATTCATCAATGTGGTAGCTACAATGATCTGGGTGAATATCTGGAATGACCGGGTCAACCCATTTACCATAAGCGGACAGAAGAGCTGTGTTAGATCTCAAACGTCAGAGGCACCATTCACACTGTCCGCAGTGGCCGGATGGCGACGTTCCACAACGGTGCATTTGCGCCTGGGAGCCGACAGCGTGCAATGTCCGTTCCTCGCAGTTTGGCGGATGCCATGCAGGATCCGGATGGCACTGATTGATGTGACCGATCAGTTCTGAGAAGGTCAAGGTTAGTCCAGCGGAAGTGACATGAATGGCTGTACCAGCTTGCCTTGCCAGTGATAGCGCCCACAGGGACGAAGCCGGTTTCAGGTTGGTATCCGGAAGATGGTCGAGCCCTAGCAAGCCCCGCACTGCCGAATAGAGCGCCGATAGCTCTCCTTAAGCACCATGAGGGCATTGGAAACTATTGACCCGTATCACTCACTCGCCACGGCGAGTATTGGGAGATGCGCAGAGAGAGAGAAAAGCACATACGTGGGTATGGCTGTGCAACTGAGCGTCACCGTGACTCGGAATGGCCTCCAGTTGTTTCTGCGTGCTCCTCCTTCAAGTCGGGATGCGGAAATCCGTAGACCTGAACAAGCAAGCAGAGAAGCAGACATTCAGTGTCACAACCCCTCGTCGTGTGCGCAATCAAGGGACGACTATACACGATGGGTGTTCGACGCTGCTCTGGCAAGATCCCGGGCGCGCGCCATCAGGGCGAAACAAGACCGTGACGCTCCCACACACCCCCGGGCATCTCTGCCGCGGTTCGTTTTCACCTCCGAAGTTGCACATTCCTGTCGGGATTTTTCCTACGACCTACGATCCGTCGACGGATGGCCGCAAAAGACGCTCAAACCCATGTTGGACGTGGCTCACGCCGAGCTAAGGCTGCTGATAGCTTGGAGCGACGACCCGTTTTCAAGAGTGTGTTGGACAACCCGTTTCAAGTCGCCTGGTACCTTCTCCGGATCTATACAGTTTCAAAGTCCCTCATATACTCATATAGACTTAGGCCTTCTGCTCCGGCCAACATCCAAAACCTTCTTCTATCTCACACCGTCCAAATGGTCGATGGTGTGGCCGCCTATCATGACCACCGAGAGAAGATCCACCACCTCAAGAGAAAGGCGCTCCAGATTCAAGATCGCAACGCCAACAAGCGCCCTAGACGTGAAAGCCGTACGGACTCCATGGAACGACCAGAAGAAGGCCTGAATAGACCGAATTTGTACGCTAGCCTCGACCACCTCGACTCAGCGCACTCTATTCCTCCTCCAGTTCTGTCGTATATGACAATAGGAATCAACGAAGTGACGAGGCAACTGGAAGGCCACAATCGCACTCTGCGCAGGAGTGGATCTCTACCTTCCTCCGCGGAGCCCACGCCTGTTGCCGCCCCAGCGCCTCCCTTGAGAACGCCCATCCAGCTTCTGTTGGTATGCCGAGAAGATGTCAACCCGCCGGCACTTGTTGCACACCTTCCGCAACTCGTTGCATCTTGTAACTTCCAGACTGGCGTCCCTCAAGGCGGAGATCAAGGCTACCCCGTGAAGCTTGTGGTTCTCCCTCGCGGCGCTGAAGCGACTCTATCAGCCGCCCTTGGTCTCCGCAGGGTCGCCGTACTCGCACTCCACGTCGGTACTCTACCTGTCCACTACCGCCGGCTAATTAACGTGAGTAGATGGGAATGCCAGGGATCGAGAACATCACGGGCCACATCGATGACCTTCCGCCGCTACATGCGCCGTGGCTGGTTCCGCTTCAATCGCGCCGTTTAGAACCGACACATATCAAGCAACTTCGTACCACAGCGCCAAAGGACATGAAGAAAGCAAAGGAACTCCGAGCGCATGGACGTGCCGAGGCCAAAAAGCGGAAGGTCACCCACAGATCTGACCATTAAATTGGCGTCATCACCGAGGCATGGGCAGACTCGAATATTCTTTAAATAAAAGTAATTTAGTCGGTTACGACCTTCATAGGCCATCATCTTCTGAGAGGTCTATACGCTAATAAACAAGTCTCAAATCATTGCCCGAAGAGAGCGATGGTACATATCATTTGTCTGTGCCGATGCGCATCGTCGCCCGGACTCGAAGCGAGGCCCGTTACAGTAGAGCGCACGAAGCACTCCACCGTGCCACCAGCTGCCGCGACTTGAACCCAACCATCACGACGGCTTCTCACTCCGATTGTCGCCGCATCATTGAACGTTTTGAACTTCCGGTTGATCCCTCCTGACCTGTCTACATACAAGACTGCTTGATATGTTCATAGCTATCGTCGGAACACGCTCTTCCGGTAAAAAGACAGTACTGGATTACCTAATCAAGCAAGGGCTGAACCCTCTACGGCTCGGCATACCGAGCCACGCTAAAACCGTACGTTATCACGCTCAACGACATTCCCCGGAAGAGCCTGGCGACGCTGAACCTGACCAGGATTCTGACTGCTCGAATTTTCGCACGACCATGGAAATGCTGGACTACGCCACAGAACACTGGCAGCAGTCTTTTGTCACGATGGATTTGCAGGACCTGAAAAGCATCAAGGCCTTTGCCATTCGTCCCTTCTTCCTACTTCTGAGCATTGATGCACCTTTACGCTGTCGCTATGAAAGGTAAGCGAGAGTCTCAAGGCCGGATATATATCGCAGTAATCTCGTTGCAGGGTTCCGCATCAAAGCCTCGACGTCTTCGTTGGCGAGCATGATCAACTGATGTATGGCCCTGGTTTGGACGGGAATACGACTGCCTGCCCCTTACATAGCCTCCGAGAATACGTGACCCTGCAGATTGTCAATGACTTCACCACGAAGGAGGATCTGTATTCGCATCTTGACGAACTGAACTTACTGAACTCCGATCGACTTCGCCCTAGCTGGGATACATACTTCATGGTGCTCTACCAGCCCGGCTCTTTTGTGAACTATGAACTCACGCGGAAGTAGACCCTCAGCGAACTAGCATCTATGCGCTCGAATTGCATGAAACGACGTGTGGGTGCAATTCTGGTCCGCGATAAGCGGATCGTTGCTACTGGGTGCTGTGCACGTCACCTATCCTTAGAAGAGAAATAGAACTGACACTGGAGCAGATACAACGGGACGCCGCGCGGTCTACTGAACTGTAATGAAGGTGGCTGTACACGATGCAATCATGGCGCCGATGAAGATGCATGCCTTTGTCTACATGCGGAAGAAAACGCCCTCCTAGAAGCAGGCAGGGAACGTATTGGCGGTGCGACTTTGTACTGCAATACGTACGACATCTCTTGTTCCCGGTGAGGTCGTGTACCAACCTGACTTGCACCTTTAGATGTCCTTGTTTGAAATGCACCATCAAGATAATCCAGGTTGGCGTGAAGGAGGTGGTGTACAACCTAAGTTACAAAGTGTAAGATCCACACATTATTTCCTCTACTCCTCTACGATCTAATGTCTATATCTTGTCTAGAGACGACGCGTCGGCTAAGTTATTTGCCGAGGCCGATGTCCTCTTGCGCCGACATGCTTCCCCTCCATGATGAAACACAACTTAGATGGAGGAGATAACGATTATACGGCATAGGTATACCTATCTGGTACAAAATCGCGCTAGATCGTCATACGTGATACAGGAATTGTCCCGCTTGTAAGGACCCCGCTGTCCACGTGAAAGCCCAACCCTAACCCGAATGTCCGAAACACAAACAAATTGCTGCCGTGACTTCAAACTTGTCTTAGGCCAGCTCCTTGATCGACGGCCACCACCATCCCCATGCAGCACCGAGCATCCGGAATCACAGGATAACCTAGGAACGACTTTTAGTACAGCAAGCACACATGCTCAACATGTCCGCCCCACGCATTCTTCTGATAGACTCATACGATTCATTTACGCACAAGTGAGTTGTTCATGGGCTTACCCCTTGGGATTGGAGAACCTAATGCGACGATTGTTTCGGCTATCAGCCTAGCCTCTCTGATAACTGCTGCTATACCCGGTTGCATAGTTCACGTGGTACAGAACGACGATCTCACTATAGACCAGCTTACTCCTGTTCTACGCCACTTTCATGCTGTTGTCATCGGCCCTGGACCTGGCTCCCCCGATGTTGCTACTGATGTTGGCGTGCTTCCATACCTTTGGAAGCTGTCTGAACATGACATCTTACCCATATTTGGCGTTTGCCTCGGGCTACAAAGCCTCGCGCTCGAATTCGGCGCTGATGTCCATCGGCTGAATGTCGTAAAACATGGGCAGATCTCGAACCTCGTACACGACGGTACCGGCCTCTTCAAAGGCGTGGGCGCTGCGCATGTCGTCCGATATCACTCTTTGCATATCCGTCTTTCTCCTGATGGTGTGATACAAGAGCTGGCAACTGCGGACGACGGTGCAGAGAATGGGCGCGTCGTGATGGCTGTACGACACCGCGACAAACCTTTTTGGGGTGTGCAATATCATCCCGAATCCGTCCGTACCTCTGGTGGCGGCATAGACGTGCTAAAAAACTTCTGGCGCTTGGCAACAGCCTGGGCAACTCTGCATGAGCGTATACCAGAACGTTGGGACTCTACCCTGGAACGCACGTTCGGGGCTCCTTGGCCCAGGAAACGACTGATACCCGAAGACATCACTCCGCGCTCATCATCTACACACTATCGCTACCTTGAACTGCATAAGCCCGATATCTCCGTTCATGCTCTCTGTGAGAAGGTCGGCGCCAACGATACACAGACGCCATTTGTTTTGCTCGAATCAGCTGCACATCCTGGACGATACTCCATAATCGGCTGCACTGATGCAGTATCGCCGCGCATCCAATACACGACCGGAGACGTTGACGTTGTCGTCTCTGGGATTCGCGAGTGCCTGGCCGCACAAGACGTGTGGTCATGGCTTGCCTGCTTCGTTCGGTCACGTCACGTGACCGATGGGCAACAAACGGTGCCATTCTGGGGAGGCCTTGTCGGATACATTTCTTACGAGCTCGGCGTCTCTGGCGTTACACGTCTACCTGAAAGCAAGTGCAACGGTCAGCAACGTCACCCAGACGTGAATCTTGTCTTCGTCGACCGCAGCATTGTCATCGATCACTGTACTGAACGTGTTTACGTCCAATCTCTCCGAGAAGACGACAACGCTTGGCTGGAAGAAACGGCCGCCTTTGTTCGGGATACAACAAGACCTAGGCCCACCGCAACCCGGCCGCTCTTTTCGAAGCCACCGTCCGTGCGATTGCCCGACGAGGCTCGGTACAAGGCACGCATCCTCGCCGCGAAAGAGCACCTCTTCGCAGGAGACTCGTACGAACTCTGTCTAACGGCAAACACCCGTGTAGTTGCGCGACCTACCACTCCCATGTCATCAAAGCCTTCATCCTGGGAGCTTTACAAGCTTCTACAACTACGCAACCCTGCACCCCATGCGGGCTACATTCGCCTCGCGCCGTCAACCTTGCTTTCATCATCACCTGAGCGGTTCCTATCCTTCACTAGGGACGGTCGTTGCCAGCTTCGCCCTATAAAAGGCACCGTGCGCAAGGCTCCAGGCATCACACGAGACGTCGCGGAGGAATTGCTCGCTGGTAGCCAAAAGGAGGTCGCGGAGAACCTGATGATTGTCGATCTGATTCGACACGATCTACATGGTGTTGTCGGCGACGATGTCGTGGTGAATCAGTTCTGTAAGGTCGAGGAGTACGAGACAGTTTGGCAGATGGTCAGTGTCGTAGAGGGCGGTCCGCCCAAGGGCGTCGCGAACGCTGAGGTTGGATGGAAGGTGCTACAACAGAGCCTTCCTCCCGGTGCGTAGTTGAAATCATCCATCAAAAGAGTACCTATCCTGAAGTGCGGCGACTCTGAAGGGAGTATGACTGGCGCGCCTAAGAAGCGGAGTGTCGAGATCTTACACACGCTCGAAGACGACGATAGGAGTATTTACTCGGGCGTCTTCGGCTACTGGGACGTCGGCGGAGGCGGCGACTGGTCGGTAGTCATTCGGAGCTGCTTCAAGCACGACAAAGAACGAACTGAGTCTCAGAGAACGCCCGGGATCGAAGGCGCCGACCCTGAACAACTATTCGAAGGTGACGAGGGACAGGAGGAGTGGATCATCGGTGCAGGTGGAGCAATCACCGCTCTTTCTGACCCTCAAAGCGAGTGGGAAGAGATGTGCATCAAGCTACAAAGTGTCCTGCAGACATTTTCAGCGGCGGCACCGCAGTCGGCGGTGTAAAGAGGGCGGGCGCACCCAGTCGGGTTAGACTTTGACCCGTTGGCAAGCAAAGGATAGGCGCTGGCGTGATACGCTCAGCGCTCAAAGAATTCAACTTCCCCTTACAGTTACCATCATGACTCTTCCCATACCTCTGTTCTCGAAGTCATGTCGGTAGAGCTCCGCCGGCTACCCTCGCCGCGTAACTTTACCACCGTATCTTCTGCCTATCTCTATCCGTCGCACCTCCCGTTTTCTAGATCAGGCCTCCCACGCACTGGGTTCAACCCAGATGTTCTCCAGTTCACATGCATACAGTTCTGCTATATTGAGACTGCATATCATTGACCATGCACGCCACAAGGAAAGTTCAGAAGAACAATGCGGAAACTATCTGAAGGGCGAGCGCCAAAAGACGTCGATATGGGCGTGCCGCTTCTCACATGCCAGATACAAGCCAACTGACAACGACTCCATCCTCCGAGATCCACCGATGTCAGACGGAGTAAGACACTGGTAGAGCGGTATTGAACCTCCAAAACAAGGGCATTACACCATAAGTGCGATGTGCTTCAATTCACTGTGGAGCTCTGATTGAGATCGAGCTATCTTGGAGTGGCCAAAGAGCACTCACTTCTGAACTTGTTGCCCGACCTTCATAGGCGTATACTCAACCTCCTCGTCATCTTCCGCAGCCGACGAGCCCAGGTTCTTGTCCATGAGCCGCAGCTCCTTAGCTCTACGGGCGAGCGACGAGATCGGCGACAGGTCGTAGTCGGAAGAGAGATGCCAGAAGAAGGTGCTTGATATGCGCACTAATGGGCGCTCTGGGAACTCAATCTTGCGCCGTTCGATGGTTTCTACGGTAGACGCATTGACTACAACTTCATGGAATCCAGCTTTGACCAATCCGCCGGTGAGATGTTCGAGCTGCTTTCCGGCCTGCACAAGGAGGTAGCGCCCTTGCGACGGGAAGCGAACAGCGATACGCTTTCCAGTGTTACGCGCCCATATGTGAAGGCCGGGGTACCGAGAACGCCCATGAATCGTGAGAAAATTGAGATCCGTATGGAATCCGGCAAGGATGGTGTCTTTCTGGCCATACTTGACCAGATCGCTAGCTGTCGGTGCAAGGAGGTGCGGTCCATATGCGCCTGCGTCCGTAAAGGTTTCGCGCGAGAGGCCGAGGCCGAGGGCGGCCATCTCGGCGACACCCTCGACGGCGTTCTTCATACTCGCACCCCATTTCTCCAGGGTGGCCTCCCAACGATCTTTCAGATTCTCAGCCCTTGGAACGACATTGGGCGCATTCAAGCCCGGGAAAGATGTTTCGTAGGGGGGGCGCGCGCCCATGCGCCAAAAGAAGCGACACTTCGGGTCAGGCGAATGCGCAGTGATATCGAGCGGCCGCTCAGCAGGATCCAGTCGAGCGATAACCCGTAGACACGGTTCGTCCGCAGCGCACTTGGGTTTCTCGGTATTCTCAAGTGTCACGCCAACTTGGTATGATAACTCAGGACGTTCGTCCTCTTTGAGCGCATGCTCAGGCTGTGCGAAGTAGTCCTCGAGCAGGTCCAGGAACCTCGCGTTGTCATCCTCTGACACACGATCGTCGTGCAGAAGCAGTGCGCCGTAGGTAATTAACGCATCAGCGGCCTATTACAAGATCTGTTTGCAGTTGTCCCAAGAAAGACACGATAAGCCGCTCATACCTTCTTGCACTCGGCGACCACCTCCGCAGATTCATGCGGTTGCGTACGAAAAAGATCAAGATCAATGACGGGCAGTGTTGCTCCTGAGTCAGACATCCTTCGCCGTGGTCACAAAGAGGGTGTAGGTTGGAGGATAGTTGCGATCTGGAAGTTGACAGGGCGAAAGAGCAGGGCAAGACGCGATCCTGCAAGTCGCGAGACGGCGCACATGACCGCGAGATCTCCCACGCTCCTACAGGCAATCGCCGCAAGTCAATTGGTCAAAGCTTCACATCTGCCGCCATGTTCCATTCAACAGAGTTCTCTAGGTCACTTGCTCTCAAAGTCCCAGCCGACGGCCTTTTTGCGCATCAGAAAGCTCGTTCGCAGTGTGCACAGGCCTTGAAGTTGGCCCGCTAGTCCCTTTCGGGGCTACTGTCCGTCTGGGCAAACATAGACTCGGAGTTCCTGTCATGAAGCGGCGGTGAGTAGCAGCGGGTCAGTGTAACCCCGACATGACTAGAAGGGTCATGCGATAATGCTATGCGAATCGGAGCTGGAGGAGATCACTACGGGATACATCGCCGACATGGTACGATCTATATGGTAAGTACGACGAGATCGCACTGGAGTGGGCGCGGGAGCCGGTCCAACAGCCGGATAGCCTCACGCAGCGTCCTACGATGATGATCAAAATACGGTCCTTCACTACGGTACCGCATTAGAAATCACCACTGGCTGGTACTGTACGCGGAGGACGGCCCGTCGCTGCTAACGCTCCTGGATAGCTAACTAGGGCAAAGATGCCGATACAGGGCCCAAACGTCTTGTGATGCGTGCATGACGGTTACCACCCTTACTATATTGATGCGCCCCTGTCATACTCGTACTTGAATAGAGTGAGCATCGCCGCTCTCTAGTCTAGTATCACTAGATAGCGGCCATTGATTGACACAAAATCGTAAACCCCATCATCAAGTTGTCAACAATAAGGCAGAATCAGCTAGGTTAGCTCGAAGCATGCAAGCAATATTCCGCAGAGTGTGAGATACGCGTTTCATGACTATGCGTTGTCACTGTATCGATGTTACGTCTTGTCACCTGTATGTGCCCCTCTGCGCCTTCGAACGTGATCAAGACCGCAAGACGCTCGTGATTCTCCCAACCGTCGGCTCACATGCACAACAGAAATCGCTTGCGCACACGACCCGACGTAACATTAAGAGATACTCTCGTTTGCCCCGTAGCACCTGCAGCTAGTATAGTTGTGCCCAGAGGAAAGGCAGAGATCTAGCCGAGAGATAATCGTTATCATATCAGCGGCGATCATCGCTCCCAAGAAATGCCCAACGCAGACTTTCCAAGCGAACACCGACAGATGTCACGGGCGGCTGCACGGCTAGCGCACCAGGCTCGCCTCTTTTCTTCATCCACCATGGCTTCGCGTTAGTGGTCATCATATTTTGTGATCGGACGTTCACTGATATAAGACACCACGCAGAATACACCCCTCGCCTCATCGGCGCCCCGAACACGCTTGGTACGCTCCTCCTACTTTGCTGGTCTCATCTATACGAGATCTAAGCGTATTTCTGTAGAGCACCGTGTCTACATTGAGCACAATGGCCGTGTCGTGTCGCCCTTCCACGATATCCCGCTCTTTGCGGACCAGAACAACGGGATCCTGAACATGGTCGTCGAGGTCCCTCGCTGGACGAACGCGAAGATGGAGATCTCCAAGGAGGAGGCACTTAACCCGATCAAGCAGGACATCAAGAAAGGTCGTCTGCGCTACGTTCGCAACTGCTTCCCGCACCACGGCTACATCTGGAACTACGGCGCGTTCCCCCAGGTATGTGAGCTGGCACTTGAGCCGCACCGTATACGCGTGTCTGATCGGTCTCGTGCTTCTTGATAGACTTGGGAGGACCCTACGTCGATGCACGCCGAGACCAAGGCCAAGGGCGACAACGACCCGCTCGACGTCTGCGAGATCGGCGAGCAGGTCGGCTACGTCGGCCAAGTGAAGCAGGTCAAGGTTCTCGGCATCATGGCACTTCTTGACGAGGGCGAGACCGACTGGAAGGTTATTGTCGTTGACGTTCAGGACCCGCTTGCGAGCAAGCTCAACGACATCGAGGATGTTGAGCGTCACCTTCCGGGTCTCGTTCGTGCGACGAACGAGTGGTTCCGGTAGGTCGCAAATTCTTCACATATATTCCCCGCGCTCATTTCCAAACCTTTACCCACCCAGTATCTACAAGATCCCCGACGGAAAGCCGGAGAACCAGTTCGCGTTCTCGGGCGAGGCTAAGAACAAGAAGTACGCGACCGAGATCATCCACGAGTGCCACGAGGCCTGGCGCCGCCTCATCACTGGCGAGGTGCCCGCGAAGACGCCGGCCTACGATCTCAGCATCCGCAACGTGTCGCAGCCGAACTCGCCAGGCTACAACAAGACCGACGAGGGCATTCCTCCCGACAGCCGCAAGCCGCCGGCGCCCGTGGACCCTTCCAGCAAGTCTTATTTCTTTGAGCTGGCTTCCGTTCCAGTGTGACTGGTGTTCCCGTACTGACTTTAGTTTTCGTTCATAGTCTCGAAGTGGTTCTACATCTCCTCTGCCCAGGTGTAATTGGGTTCTTCAAGAACGGTCTCTCTGAGAGGGCGAGTGTGCCCCGGAACTTTTGCTTGTACTACAAAATCTCTACATCCGCTGTTCACCATAGCACGTCTGACTCACTTATTGTGACGCATTGTACGGCTTGAAGTTTCGCATACAACATGAAGGCCCGAGAAGAGCAAGTGTGTACATCTACAAGGAAGTAAGGCAAAAATGAGGCGCCGGTAAGGGTCATGTACTACCATCGTCCAACCTATGTTGTTTCCAGAACGTGTACAACCGTCTCCGATTCGAGTCTCGTGCATCTTCCTTCGTCGCCGTATCCCATACGAGGTTCATCACAGCAGCGTGCAGTGCTCCGGCACCTGTACTACCCTCTCCACCTCCAACGCTAGCACACGATCCTCGCACAATATCGCCATACTCATCGTCATCCACCTTCCGGCGTTTTGCACGGCGTCCACCCTCATTATCCTCTTCGCTGTCACTGTGTGTTGGGGAAGATGGAGACAGCGATGACGCAAGGGCGGACAAAAGAGGCGAAAGTACAGTATCCTGTATACGTTGCACGGTCGCCTTCGTGGGTGTACGCGCAGCTAGTGATACGAATGGTGACAGGAGATCAGGAAGCGGCGCAAGGTTCCGATCTTCATCCTCGTCTTCCTCGGAAGTCTGGCGCCTCAAAACTTTCTCCAGTTCCTCGAGGTAGATGTCACAGAGATGATACGCTAGTGAAGGGGGAACGCGGGGATCTGTGGGACTGATGCCATGCAACATAGTCAGGGCGGGTCGGATTAATATAGGAAGGTGACACGGAACGTACCAGAGTGGACCGCCTTGCCGCATTAAGATAGCGTTATAGGCTTCAACGTCTGCGGCTTCCCATCCTCCGCGTGCAAGCAATCGGAAAGAGGCATTAACGTATCGCCGGATGAGCATAAGGTACTTGTCAATTCTGTGTCAAACTTCGGTCAGCACCTTATGGCTTCCCTCTTCTCTCGGAAGATGACAGGAAGGTTGACGTACCGTAGCCTGTCGATTCCGCTCCACTCCCTAACTATACATGTCCAAAAGCCCTCCAAGAAGCCGAGAGCTGCATCCGTCGAATCTATCGCAAGAAGCAGACCCGCGAGTTCAGATGCAAGTGCCTGCTGCACGAGCGGTTTGTCTGACATCCAGAAGCCTGCCCACAAACATGACGTTCCGCATAATTGATTGTTTCAGGTTACGGAGACGTACAATAGAAGACACCCTTCCAGAGCTTAGCCATCTCGCCAGGCGACATGCGCGCATTCGCGGGCTCACTTAGAAACGCCGCTAGGCTTTGGATTGCCTTGTCCCGAATAGACTTCTCTACAGCGGAAGTTCAGTTAGATATTTTGAGCGTGATGGCATAGAGTTGGTAGACCTGTAGAGGACAGGTATTTGCCGAGCGGTAGAGTCGAAGAGGAGGACGCGGCAGCCATGACTGCTTGAGGACAAAGTCTAAAGATCTGCAAGTGCTGCTGAACTTTTGGCGGTTCGGCTCATTGATCCGCTCTTCGCGCGTGGCACCTCCGGTCTTCCGGGTCTGCGCTCCGCCACCTCCGCAGCGTCACTCTCGGCGTTCAACTCCACATCGGCTGGAAGTCGATATTTAGGATAGTACACCAGCAATGAGCAGACCCCCTATTACCTGTCACGGTCTGCTCGATCCCCTTGTGGACCCCTGCTTTCTTCTGACTGGCCTTCGGGTTTGCAGTGCTCGATTCTTCGACTGGTCGGCCAGCGGCCGGTGTCACGGTCGTGCTTGAGGAGTATCAGGGCAACCCGAATGGCTCGGCTACATTTTCTCCTCTCTATACCGGGTGAGTGTGCCGCTTGTGGTAGCTTCCAATAACGACGTAACAGCCTTCACAGGAAGACAAACTCGGACGGGCGTTGCACCGATCTCATGCCGGGACGCGATGAGCTCACGAAACTCGGCAAATCGCTGAGGGCGAAAACACCATACAAGATGACGTTCAAGACGGCGGAGTATTTCGAATCGCGGGATGTGCAATCGTTCTACCCCTGGGTCGAGGTACGTGTAGCTATCTGCTAGCTTTACCAAGAGATCATAGATGGATGGATGGTGTGTATAGATCGTGTTCGCGATGCAAGATACAGATGAACACTACCATATACCGTTGCTGATCAGTCCGTTCGGGTATACCACGTATCGCGGTAGCTGAGCACATCATTACCCCCGATGGCGAATGTACGATGAACGCATCTCTATACGGACGCAGGAATGGGATGTCAAGAAATATAATGAATGACAGAACTCGGACCAAGTGATGAGGAAAAAAGACGATAGGATATCGGTGTGGGTGATAGCAAGTGGATAGTGGCAGATACAGCGACGAGGAATGCGGGGAGTGATTAAGCGATGAACACTGGACGAGGGGAGAAGCGTGTCTAGCTGGAGAGGCACGTTAAACAGTGGGACGGATGGGAGTGCGGATCGCGATGGCGATCACTGAGCAAGGACGTTGTCGTATTTCTGGCCCTTGATGTTCGCGCCACGCATCGACTGCTTGACATTGTGCAAGAACGTATCGCGGTTGCGTCGCAACTCTTCTGCGGCCTCTGCATCGCAGATCACTCGTATGAGCCACAGAGCTGGTATTAGATGAGATTAACGCACCTTTGTTCAGAGGATCGTCGGCGTTCGGCTCCAGGAAGAGGTACTGCAAGCCGACCATGACCGAGTTAAGGTTGAGAACGGGCTTCCAGTCCTCTCGCAAGATGTTCAAACAGACGTTCCCCTCCAGGTCAACATTCGGATGGTAGATCTGCACACGTCAAATGGGTTAAGGGTCAGAGTGAACCGATGAGCACACGACACACCGTTTGCGTGCACTTGACCTTTGGTGGCTCGTGCGGGTAGTTGGTGTTGATCTGGAAGGAGAAGTTGAACTGTCCACCCTTGTACATGCCTGCATGTGCGATCAGTCAGCTAGAAGGGTTATGGCAGATGATCCAGAACATACCCTCGTCTGGCGTTATCGTGAGAGTGAAGTTGAGCAGATCCGCAGGGTCAGGGAAGTTCGTCTTCATTGTTGATGGTAAGTCTAGCTCTGTGAGATCTATTGAGGAGTCAGAAGGCCGCTTGTCGTATCGAAAAAGCCACAGACCTTTCTGCACGCGAATCTGAGCTGCGCTCGTCTTCGGCTTCTTCTTGGCCGCTGCCTCCTCGTTCTTCTTCAAGGTCCAAAGCTACGAGAGCAAAGTCAGATTTGATTGCTAGTATACCTTCAGAGCTCAGTCGTACCTTGAGCATGACGGGAGATGATATGAGAGTGTGGCGAAGAAGACGATGTGGTGGTGGGTGTGTAAGACGCGTCGACGCGTTTGACGCGTTGCGCCTGACGCGGCACGCGTGCTGAAGCGCTTGTGGACAGACTCGTATTCTGCTTCTCGCTTCCACGTCGTTCTGTGGCACATCCCCCAGTTCTTGTTGATGTCTGAAAGAGCATGCTGCAGAGCACAGACCATCGACAACATCATATCGTATTTACAAAGCGATACAAAGCAATAAGACATAGCACGACGATTATATGCAAACTAGTATGTAGTGAACCCCCGCCCCGGCGTCGACTAAGAAGACACGACTTCTTCGATGTCCAAAAGCAATGTATCACTCTCGTCGATATCGTCCACGAAGGCGAAGTAGTCCTCATCATCTCGAGGCTGTTCTGATGCCCGTCGGAATTCTTCTTCCGCCATAGCTCGCCGGTGATTCTCGTCTTCAAGGTCCCGTTCGTCGGCGTCGTAACCCATCCACTGCAGTACATGTGGATGAGCCTCCACTCTGGACTTGTCGAAGTTGAGAACCTCGAGGGTATCCATAGACGTCGCCCGTGATAGCGCGACATAAGCCTGGCCTCGCTCGAAGACGCGTGAGAGGTCGACCTTCACGCGCTCCAGAGTTGCTCCTTGGGACTTGTGTATGCTCAGAGCCCAAGCCAGGATAAGCGGCACTTGGGTTCGACAGGCCATGAGATTACCACGACGGTTCTCTTGCTTGAAATCGGCTGGATGACAGAGTAAAGTCCGCCCATTCATGAAACGCACTAATGGGTAACGATATCCTGCCCAGTTACTGTGTCGGTCACGCAAGATGATGGGTAGCCTGTCTTTGGCTCTTTGGACTGCGTCTTTATCGTCTTCGTGAAATGGAGCGACATGATAGGCCTCGGCTTCCTCAATCGTACAGAAGTCCTCGACTACGCCGATAGAGCCGTTGACAAGCACACCTTGGAGCTTGTTCTGCAAAAGCAGCGAGTATCTGAGTGAGCGAGATCGATGTCGCGAGAAAGAAGCACTTGCCATGATCAGCATAACTCGTGCCCCTTTCTTCAATACGACCTCTTCCGGCGCAGAGATACTCTTGAGGACTTCGCGGAATCGTTTTCCCGAGATTTTGCGATCGTTGATGTCTACACCAGCAGCATCATAGCTGCGAAATGTGACCTCCCTGTCCTCCAAGCAATCCAGACGCATTTGGTTGACTATCGTCGCCTCTTCGTTCGTAGGGTACCTGTGAGATTCTTGCGTTCAACATCATGCTAGAGATGAAGACCGTAGAGCGGCGCACAGTTCCGTTGGGCCGATATCATCATAGTATTTGACGGGCCGTGCGAGATACTTGAACTCAGCTTCCGTCTTTGCGCTGATCTTGCCAATCTTGACCTCCTCGAGCATCTTCACGAACTCTAAACTGTACGTGAGATGATGAGAGCGCAACGTCAAAGTCGTTGTACACACCGCCGTCGCTCTGTCGGAAGACATGCGTGAGCTTATGGACTTGATCGAAGCATTCATTCCATGCGCGCGATTCGAACGCAAACTTGGCTTTAATCTTGCTGGAGTTGACCACTGGCGGCAGCTGGAAGAAGTCTCCACAGATGACTAGCTGTGTAAGGCAATGAATGACCTATGCACGAGATGCAGGCGGCGTGGACTAACTTGGATACCACCAAATGGTCTGCTATTCTCCCGGGCGCGCCGACCGATATAGTCCTGATGGAATGAGCAGGGTGTACGCCTCCGTACCGTTTGCCCTACGCACCAGCTTGTCGAAGAGCTCATCATCAATCATTGACACTAGAAACGCTGTCAGACTTGCATCCAGCAGGGAGATTGGAGACAGGAACCTTCATCAATGATAATGCAGTCCGTGTGCTGCCACCTCAGCAACTTATGTCTCTCATACTTTATGTCGTCCCAAAGAAGTTCCGCGTCCTTCGCTCCGAGCCCAATTCCCGCCCAAGAGTGAATGGTGCGCCCGCCGGGAAAGTGTATAGACGCTGCGCCCGTCGAGGCCGTGATGGCCAGCCTTCGACAACCGGCAGGCCAAAGGCCGATGATAGCGCGCATGAGTACAGACTTTCCTGTACCTGGAGCATCACGCCATCAGTTCAGAGCATGGAATGTAAAGGCGAAAGGCATACCGGCAGAGCCAGTGACGAAAACACTCTTCCTTTGCCGAACAAGATCAAGTATGTGAAGCTGTTCATCCGAGAGCACAACAGGGTTGGAGACGTTAGATTCGTCTGTCTATCGATTTAGTTGCGATTCTAAGCGTATAGTTGGAAGAAGGACGAACCCTTGGAACCTTGAGGGTCGCGGCAACAGTGCCACGAGTGCCCTTCCTTGTAGACGGGCGCATCTCCCAACGCAGATTCACCACGCTTGACAGGCTCGTTCACCGGGCTGGGACTTAGATAAGCTGCGTCTAGAACGTCCACAGAGCTCCCTTCCTTCACAACTGCCCCCTCCTCCTTGACGCACACTACCGCCTCCTCTTCCTTGACACATACTGCCGCCTCTTCCTCGACGCCTGCCTCGAACTCCTCCTTGATATCAAAGTCTACGTCCGTCGTGGAGGACCATAACTCTTCGTCACTGTCGTACGCGGATGACTCTGCCCTCAAACCCACCCCAACCTCTTCTTTGACAACCGCTTCAACCTCTGTTTTGATGTCGACTTCCACATCCATCACAGACAACCAGAGGTCTTCGTCGTCGTCGGGTGTATGCGTCTCCTCGACAGCCACCGCGACCACTTCTTCGACTCGCGCCCGAACTTCCGCCGTGGTGTCTGCTCCAACATCCATCACAGACGCCCACAACTCTTCGTCGCTTTCGTGTGTGCATTCCTCCACCGTGACTTTGAGAGTAGGCTCTTCAACCTTCGACACATCATTGCTCGACGCTGACCGGATAGCTTTCAGTCTCGCTGCACCTGCCGGGAGTTGTCAGCATTCAGTGCGACGCATCAAAGTAGGCCACGTTACTCACGAGCCAAGGCTGGCGCAAGGTATCTCTGCGCGAGCACAGGTGAGTTGAACCTTCCGTACTTGACGTTGGTCATGCCCTCGGTCTGCACGTCACATTGAGTTTACTGCTGTGGAGGGTATAGGATGAACGCACGTTCTTCTCGAACTACGACACGAACATGTCAGTATATTCTACTCTCCTTGATCATTGGAGAGAGTGCGCACGTCAGATAGGGAGGTGTATACACGAGGTCCTTCGCGTCCATTCTGGACAGCATAGTAGAGATATGTGCCTTCGCTCTTAGGCATCAAGTAATTAAGTCGGGTCCCTCGTCGTGTAGCACTGTGTGATAGGTGTAGACTGTGACGTTCTGCAGAAAGGACTTTCAATAGCGAGAGCTAGAGTAGCAAATACAGAGCAAGCGAGAAACAGGAAAGCGTAGAGATGGCCGTTGCGGATTGAGTCGCGTCGTGACCGCACCTGTGGTTGAACTTCGGACGCGTCGCGCGGGAAAGTCTCGACGCGGTCAGGTGCGCACTGCCTCCCATGAGACACGCGCGTCTCCTGAGGCTGAACTGTAACAGCCACCATCGCGGGTCGGTTCTCATCCTCGCGAACGAGCTCTATCTCCATTCTATTCCCTATCAGTTACATCATATTCCGCAATCTGATGTCCGAGGCCCGCGGCAGAGGCGCATATCGCGCAAGGGGCTTCGCTCGAGGCCGGGGTCGAGGTTGGCGAGGCGCTGGTGGACCGCGTGGGAACGCAACACATATGGGAGCACGGAACTCGTCGACTGCATCGGGTAGTGGTGGTACTACTGCACCATCAGATAAACCACGCAAGCCTCAAAGGCCACCACGACCTCCTTTCGTGGGACCATTATACGACTGGAGCCTGACTACACCGAAACCTGAACTTTACTACTTGACGACATGTGAAGCTGCGGAGGCAGCAGTAGCGGACATCATCTCTCGGAATCCACGCGCCATGGGTTTCGATATTGAATGGCGACCTCAGTTTCTGCCGAAGCAGCCTGAGAATCCTGTGGCGCTGGTGCAGTTGGCCAGCGAGGACGCAATATATCTGTTTCAGGTTACCTCTATGAGAGGTACCACATTGCAACACGTACTTAGTAACGCTTTCTGATGCGTGGCTTTGCCCGCGTAGGGTTTCCTGCTGGTTTGGCCGATTTCCTCGAGTCCAGTCATACATCCAAAGTGGGCGTCGCCATCCAGGGTCAGTGACGTCGACTTCCTCTCATGAGATTACATCGGGCTAACAAACGCGCGTAGGTGATGCAATGAAACTATTCAAAGACTACCGTGTCGATGTAGGAGGTTGCATCGACTTATCACTTTTGGCGCGCACCGTGGACGAGAGGTGGACCGGAAAGTACAACAGACCGATCGGTCTAGCCCATCTATCGGAGACGTATCTGGAGCATGGGTTACAGAAGGGTCGTATATCAAGAAGCGACTGGCAAGCGCCCCTCGACGAAGCACAGCAGAACTGTACGTACAAAACTCTCACATCTCAATCGAGATCTTCCACAACCGACATTTACCACATTGCGATATTAGACGCTGCGAACGACGCCCACGCAGGCCTGAAGATATGGAAAGCGCTCATGCAAAGGGCCGATGCGATGGACCCCGTTCCAGACCCGGACTACTACAGCTTCAGCTTGCGCGGAGGCGTGCTTCGCGATGATCAAGATCGACCGTGGTTTCCGTTTAACCCAAACTACTCGGGCGTCGATCGTGAGGAGCCGAAGCAATTGAACGCTAATGTGGCGTCGGCGACGATGGAGTTGGATACGTAGCTTTCCCTTGTATGCTAGGCTTGAGCGGTGATGGTCAGAAGTGATTGAGCCCTGTCATGTCGTTTATAGACTGTGGGTATCGGCGGTGTTTGCAGCTCGGAGCTCTATGCATGAGACTCGTTGGAGTGGCAGTGAAGTTACTTGTACAGCAGCCAACGACGATAAAGCTTGTATCTCACCGATCTGTCTAGGCCTCATGCCGCAACACCGTATTCGAAAGTGTCGTGTATCCGCACGCTCCAGACCCGCCTGTTTGGAGTTTAGTTGCGCTCATCAAAGTGAAGACCGACCTAGAGGCACCATTACCACGACCAAGACAACTCATAGATGTTCTATCTTAGTCTGGAATCTACTTGAACTGTACCGTGAGATATACGTGCTTGAAACAATATTTCGGTGTTCTACCAAGGAGTGGAACTCCCAAAGGTGTCACACCTCGTTTGCAGACGTTTGCAGAAAACTCTGGCCTCGGCCCCGGGATGGATTCTCGATACAACCCAGGCTGATGTACAACTGATGTTCAAACGTTCAAGTGCGGCCCTTGATAATATAGAACTGTAACCGCATGCACATCGTTGCCGCAGGCCTGGTGCCCAAGAAGCCACTCTCACTTGCGTTGATCATACGCAAAGTCGATGATCGGCCCACTCGGCCGAGCCTTTCAAGCACTGAGTTGAAGCAGTAAAAAGATACAATATTAGCAGCACACCAGCAAGCATACATTACACCACACGTCTCCTCACGCCCTCCCACCCTTCTTCTTCTTATTAACAACCTTAAACCCGCCCCACTCATTCCCCTGCGCGCTCTTCGGCGTGCTCTTCACAATATCAGCGATACTCGCCACCCCGCCCGCACCACCCGCACCACCCGCAGACTTCCGCATCGCGTCGGCCTTTCGGCGGCTCGCGAACTCGGCGGCGAAACGGCGGCCGTCGAGCGTGGCGGAGTTGGCGTAGATGAGGTCGGAGATGAGTTCGGATGTGGAGGGGTCGACGTCGAGCGGGAAGGAGAGGAGCATTGAGACTATCGCGTCGTCTGTATCGTAGATATTTCAGTATGAATTCACGATTGATGAGGAGGGGGGAAAGCGACGTACATTCGACACCATTACTCAACGCCTTGAGATTATCGCTCAACCACTTCATAAACTCCGCACTAGGCGCAGCAGGCGCGACCTCAACCTTCGGCGCCGGCGCCGGCTTAGGCGTAACAGCCGGCTTCACAACGACCGGACTGGGCGCTGGCGCAGGTGCCGGCGTAGCAGCAGCCGGCTTGCGCGCCACAGCCGGCGCAGGCGCCGGGCGCGCCGAAGTGCCACCTACAGCCGCCGCGACGGTCTTCGCGGCCGGCGCACCGACAGTCGTCCACGCCCCACCCGTAACAGGCGCAGGACTCGGCGAGGCCTTGGTCGTCGTCTCGGCGTACATCTTGCTCCGCGCGGCCGCGTCGCGCGCCTCTTTCGCCTTCCGCCTCTCCTCCTCCTCCTGGATCTCCTTCATGCTCTTCTTCTTCGCCGCGCCGTTCGCGCCCGCGCCCCACACGGGCTGCACGGCGTCTTTGGCCTGGTCCTTGGACTCTTTGACTGGGCTCGAAGGCTTGACTGTCGACGCGGCGCCGACTTTCGACGTGGGGAGGCCCCAGGATATCTGCTGCAGCTCGCCCGCGTCGACCGCGCTCGTCGTCTGGGCTGAGGGTGCGGTCTGCTGCAACAGCCTCCGCTCGCGCTCGGCCAACTTCTTCTCCTCCAGCCTCCTCGTCTCGGCCTCCTGAATCTCGCGCAGGCTCATCTTCTTCTCCTCGCCCGCCGCGCCCGAAGCCCACACCTTCGGCGCAGTCGAATCCGCTGGCGTCGACGGTGACGGCTCGGCGACCGGCTCTGGAATGGGAGCAGGCGCAGGAGTAGCAGCAGCTTTCTTCTTCGACTTCTTCGTCTCCTCCTTCGCCACCTCCTTCTCCTTCGGTGCCTCCTTCCCCTGTCCAACCACCTCCTCCTTCGCCATCGCAACAACAGGCAACTCCAGCTTCGGCTTCTCCACGCTCGGCGTCTCAACCACCGCCAGCGCGCTCGCCGCAGCAGCCTTCGCCGCGGCCTCCTCCTTCATCTGCATCAAATTATGCTGGCCCAGATTGCTCACAGTCAGACTATTCGGGCCCTGGACCTCCCTCCAGCCCTCCTCGACAACGCTCTGCGCCGTGCTCGACCACGCGGCGCTCTTCCCGTCCTGCGTCTGCGTGCTCTGCTGCGTCTGCGACGGCGCGGCGGGCGCGGGCGGCGCCCACGAGTCGCGGTCGCGCAGTGAGATGGTGTTGCGCGACGTCGGGAAGTTCGTGGAGGGGTCGAACGGCTTCGGCTGCTGCTGAGCATTCCATTGTGCGCCCTGTCCGCCGCCGACTACATTGGAGCGCGCCTGAGCCTGACTCTGCACGGGCGTGCCCTGATGACTCTGAGCCTGCGCGAAGCCCAGCGACGGGCTCTGCGTGAACTGCTGCGGCGCCGCGTCGAACGGCGCCGGGCTCGGTCGTCCAACCTCACGCGGCAAAAAGGGATCCGCGGCAGATGCGATACCCGTGCCCGTGCCCGGCGTGCGCGCCAGCGGCGAATGCGCGAAGCCGGACGCCGCGTCGTTCAGATGCGCATGTCCTCCATACGGCTGCTGCTGCTGCGCCCCATACGAATCAAGACTATTCGTCCGGATATTCAGCCCGTTCTGCGCGCCCCAGGGCGAAGCGGCCGCGAACTGCGTGCTCCCGATCGCGTACCCGTCCGTACTCGCCGTGCGCACGGGCTGCCCGAACCTATTCGTCCCAGAAAACACGGGGTCGAGGCTCTGCTCGTACCCCGGCTCCGGTGCGAAGCTGGCTTGTTGACGACGGGTGTCCTGCGCGAAGACCGCGCGGGGGCCACGCGGCGAGTCGGTGACGCCACCGCCAGCACGGGCAAAGACGGCTGGGTCTGGCGAGTTATTGCCGAGCCGCCCGCCGCCGAAGCTCGATGCGGGGGAGTGCGACGCCGGGGACTGGTTATAGTACGCCTCGAGCGCCGAGACCTGAGTCTGACGTTGTGGTACGGGTTGGAATGGGGCAGCAAAGTTATTGGGAGCCTGTTGTTGAGTAGGGACAGGCTGCAGGCCGGGCGGCGTGGGCTGTATGGGATCAAACGGCGTGAGGAACACGTTTTGGGTGCCGAGGCGCTGGACGAGCACGCCGAACTGTGTCCAGTCCGCGTCGATGCTCGCGCGCTTCATGAGGAGGTCCAGGGTGAAGTATCCCTGGATGTGCCACTGCGACATGACGTCCGCGCGGAAGGGTCCTAGAAAGAGCGTTGGGAGGGTGCACACGACCATCGATGCGATGAGAGGTAGAGGGCGAACCTTGGATATTTCCCTGCGGATCGAGGTACTGCCATTCGATGGCCGCGACGTCGAGAGGTAGACCGGGCGGCTTAGCGGGTACAGCAGCAGACGCAGAATTGCCGTTGGCGACGGGCTGATTATCGACCGCACCCGGAGTTTTGGCAGCAGGAGCCGGATCGTCGGCGTCAGCGGCGCTCTTCGGCGCTTTGGCGCGCCAGTTGTCGCTGTTGTCCGCGCCGGTCTCGTCCTCCTCCTTGATCTTCTCGCCGCCGTCGTCGCCACGTGGCGTGGGGAGCGCCTTGCCGGCCTCGGACGCGCGCCGGCGGGCCATCCACGAGTCGCCGCCGAAGAGCACGCCGTCGATGCCGCCGGGCGTGAGCGGGCCGCGAAGGCGCGGGGAGGGCATCGCCGATTCGCGCGGCGATCCCAGCTGGGCGCCCGAGAGCGACAGTTTGCGCGGGATCGGCAGGTTCATCGTCCCAGTATCTGTCGACTCGCAAAGATGAGAGATTGAGAAAAAGAGAAAAATGGGGCGACTGACCGGACGAGTCGCGGCGGCGGGCGATGTTCGTGAAGCGCTCGCGCATCGGCGATCCTGCGACCGCGCCGTTCGGCTTGACGCCGCCGATGCCGATGGCGAGCGGCGAGAACTGTTCCGTCGATTGCCGCCGCCGGAGCTCGCTGTTCAACGGCCCGGAGAATAGCTATAGAAATATTCAACACATCGTATAATAAATATAAAATATAATCGCACCTTGCGCTCCGCCTCTGTGGGCTCCTTGAGCGCTGCGGGCTCTGATCCGACCTGGCGGACGACGCCCTCCCAGCGCTCGACCTCGAGCCCGAGCCCGCCCCGTCCGCCACCTTCTTTATAGATCCGCAGCATTTCGTCCTTCGAATACGCGTACGCGTTCAGCGGCGCCTCTCCGGCCTTTTCCGCAGGCGTCCCGGGCGTCTGCGGCGGCGAGGGCGGGTTCGCTGTCCGCGGCGTGCTCTTCGTCCGCATCCACTCCGGTCCGAACATCATCGTTGTCGCGGCCATTTTATATTTATTTGTTGGTTGAAGTGTGCGCAAGGGTCGTGTGTGTGCTGCGGCGGGGTGGGTTGTGCTGGTGGCAGTAGCGGTTAGAGACTCGGACCGACCGACGCGCTGCGTCTATGGCGCGCACGCGAATTATTTGTCCCACGCTGTGCTAGTAGACAGCTCCTCGGACGCGCTTCGCCTTTTCCCGTGTACCCTCATGCGCTGTATGCTGGGTATGACGCCATACCTGCCAACGTAGACTTTATATCATTGTTCGCTGATCGAACGACGCCAGCTGTCGGCCACCCGCATGTAAAGTAGTTACTACAGTATAGTCTACGGCTGTCTGAGCTCTACATCGAAGCTCATGAGATCCCTCGCGCACACGACGGGCCCATGATAGGTTTCCTTCGCCAGATCTCGTATCCCGTTCATAACCTCCACACTGGCATCCCTCTCGTCCCCCGCATATCGCGCCGAAAAATGATTGAGCACCAATCTCCTCGCCCCGATCCTCCTCGCGAACGCCCCAGCCATCTGCGGCGTCGAATGTCCGCGCGACATCGTCCTCGCCTGTACGCTCTCGAATGTGTCTTCTGGTTTTGTTGCTGGATCGAGTGCGGGGAGGTGCGCGTTGGTCGCTTCGTGTATCAACAAATCTGCATCTTGTGCGAGGGGGACTATAGGCGACGGATCGTATGTATCGCCCAAGATCACCATTCTTCGTCCAGGTCTACGCGCAGGACCCTCAAGCACCGTTCCATCCGACAGAGTGACCGATTGGCCAGTCTGCAAAGTCCGCATAACGCTCATAGGCGTCTTCGTCCTCTTCAAATGCGGAACGTACTTTGCCGGATCCATCTTGCCCGGCACGGGCTTCTCGTCCACCACATACCCCACGCAGGGCACAGAATGCATGATCGGCGCGGCGGATACCGACAACAAGTCGTTTGAGAATATAGTGGGCCATGTGCCGTCGGCGTTCTGGGCGATGTTGCGCCCGGGGAGCTCGTACGCTTGTGGTGCGAGCGCTGTGTAGTCTCCGTCTTGTGGGTCGGTTTGTAATCGAAGTTCGTGCACGACGTAGGGTGCACCGAGGAGTGTGTGCGAGTATACTAGTCCGTTGCGGACATAGGCGCGTGTGCCGAGGGGTCCGTAGATCTCCAGAGGCTAGCGTAGTGCATATGAGTATCAGAGAGCGCATATGTGTCGAACGCGCACCTCCTTCCCCTCTACCTCCTGTACCCTCCCCTCGTCCGCCTCATCCACCATCCCACCCGCCCCATTAAGCCTAGACGCCAAAAGCGGCACAAGCCCGAAAATATGATCGCCTATCAACCTAATCAATCAACACTCCCCCCTCTCCTCCCAATCTTTGAGAATCCGAACATACCATGGGTATGTGTAACGAACACCTTATTAATCCTCCCCATCTTCACCGCGCTCCTCTGCACCTGATGCTGCGTCGCCTCTCCGCAATCGAACAGCCATACGTCGCCGTCGAGTCGTAGAGCGAGGGAAGAGTGGTTGCGGGATGAGGAGGGCTGGGCGGAGGCGGTGCCGAGGAAGGTGACGTTCACCGCGGCTAGAGCTTGCGGTGAAGGATTCGAGGTTGAGCGCGACATTGTGCTTTTGAATCTGATGAAGGTTGGCTGGTGACGGTGATGGCGGAGAGCGAGACGGAGGGCTGGGAGGATGGACATGGGTGTGTGACGCGAGAGCCCGAGTCGGTCTGACTCTGGCCCGTGCAAGTTGTGGCACCCGTGCCTCGAGCTCGCAGACGCAGATCTGAGGCTCGAGCTCAGCTCAAGATTGTTCCTCATCCATACCAACCGATGCAGCTGGAACTTTGAGAAGTGGCTTTGCTCTATCCACGTATCTGGCCTTCACGGTGTCGACAGCTGATGTTGGGAGAACTCGTCTCTTGAAAGGCCCACGCACACAGCCTGAGGACATGAAGGCGTTCCATTGAGGGGAGGCGGTAGCAGTTTATTAGGTAGGCAGAGCAACGCTAGTGTCGGCTGGCCGACAAGAGTACACCTATACGCTTTGCATACACTGGAAATGACCGTCCACCACAACCCACATCCGCCGCACACCCGCGCCTCTACCCGTGCGAACGGCATTCCCGTTCCACCAGTGACCACCCGCCGGCCCTCGCGGAAGCGCCTCGTCCTGCGCGCCCATATCGCCTGTCGCATGCGGACCCGCGCCATAACTCCAATAGAATAGACGCCGGCGGCTGATCTCGGGCACCCAAATATACGTTCGGTTCCGAGACCACACACTGTGCCTTGGATGAGTCTAGCGCCCGGAAGCGCGATAGGTATATGAGGTTGGAGCGCGGAGGAGGGGCGCGACGCATGATCCTCTTTCAAAAGGTTTTTACCGGCTATGGCGCTGTTTCGTCTGTCTTTGACGGCGAGCCGAGTGTGCATGCAGTCCCGTGAGTCTTCTTCGTGATTGATAGGCGGGTGGGTGTGGTTGAACTGAAGTCGCGGTGTGCAGTGTTCTACGCGATGCACGAGTGATACCTGCATACGTCTCCGCTGCGACTGCGGTTCTTCTTTTGGGTCACAGTCTCGTACGGCGGTTCTTCAAGAAGTCCGTTCCGGTCTACGTATCGGAGCATGGCCGGACGACCATACTGACGTACAACCTTGCCCGTCTGGCTTCTATACTGGGTCTGCTGGGTCTAGCGATCACCAGTCTCGTACGCAGCGCTTCTCAATACTCAGTAATCGTTCACGCCATCGACTGTGCCGTCTACGTACGTCCCTATAACGCTTATTATCGACCGTTCACCGATGTTGATGCCGCCCTTCAGGGATACGCCGCTCTCCTCTCGCTCGTCACTATACTTGCGAAGGGCCCAGTCACCCGCGGCGCATCTCCGGCGTTGACCATTACACTCCTCACCGCGTTCTGCGTCTACGCGTACCGGGACTTATGGCCGCTGATGACCTTCACCCTGGAACCCGCCGACCTCGAAGACGGTAACCTTCTCTGGGCCAAGATTGCATTGCTGGCGTACGCCGGAGTGCTCATACCAATCTCCATGCCACGCACATACGAGCCCTACAACCCTTCGGTCAGCTGCCCTCCCATTATCCAAAATCCGTACGCTCACCCACTCTATAGGAGCCCTCCGCAGAGCCAGCCGCAGAACAAACAGCGTCCATAGCCTCAATGGTCACGTTCTGGTTCATGGAGCCCCTCGTCTTCCTAGCCTACCGTCTCCCGCGACTTCCGTACGACCAGATTCCGCCTCTGGCGGACTATGATTGGGCAAAGAATCTTGTCGATAGGAGTGCTAAGGTATGTCTACGTCTTGGAGATGAGGGCGGAGAGGTGTAGAGGCTGATTGTGTGCGGTAGCATCTGGATGTGTATGCGGGTGCGCCGAAGAGGCATTTGTTCTTCGGTCTTATGCGCGTGTTTGGTGAGTCCTCAGGGTCTTACCCGGGAAAGTGGATTCATACTGAAGCTGGCTATAGCATTTGAGTATACCAGCGTGGCGTTGATGATCGTGCTCCGTGCGGTCACGGCTTTCATTGCGCCTCTCGGCATGAAACAGCTACTAGGGCGCGTACCCTGAAGCATCGTCTTTCTGTGTTGCTGACCGGCATGTAGCTTTCTTGAAACGGGCGGAGAGGATGCACTCGTCCGTCCATGGGCATGGATCGTCTTGCTTTGCCTCGGGCCCTTCCTCAATACACTCGCTATGCAGTGGTACACGTACAACACCGTGAGTCCAACTGATCCTTTCAATCATCTAGCTTTGCTGAAGCGCACTCTAGACCGCAGTCGTCATGCGCGGCGAGGCCATCCTCACTGAGCTTGTCTTCCAACATGCACTCCGCGTTCGTATGAAGGCCGAGACCAAGAGCGAAGACGACGAACTGAAGTGGAAGGAGGCTGATAACCTCGTTGGCAAGATGTATGCGCTCATCCTTTCTCCTCGCGGGATGCGCGCAGCTTATGCTTCTGATCCAGTACGAACTTGGTCACAACCGATGTAGACAACATCGTCGACGCTCGAGACTTCCTCACGCTCGGTACGCTAATACGACGTCGTCTCATCTCGAGCGATACGCTAACCATGAAGGCAGTGCTTCTCACGCCTCTGCACATCGCATTCTCTATCTGGATGCTCTACGACCTTCTCGGCTGGAGCTCCTTCGTCGGTGTAGCGGTCATGCTCGCCTTCCTCCCCATCCCCGGCGCGATCGCGAAGAACATCCAACGTGTCCAGCGCGAGGTTATGAAGCGGACGGATGCCCGCGTTCAGGTTGTGACCGAGAGTGAGTAGTCTGACTTGGGCGGATGGCCGTGGCTCTGACGATGGTACGCCAGTGATGAACATCATCCGCTCTGTGAAGCTCTTCGGCTGGGAAGGCAAGATCGGACAGCTTGTGTACGATAAACGCGAGGATGAGCTCCATTGGATGTATAGGCGGGAGTTCTTGACTTTGGGCAACATGCTCGTGAACTAGTACGTGCACTCACAGTGCCTTGACATGCCTTGCTGACGATGATGTCTAGTGTCGCGCCTATCATCGTGATGGTGGCTTCTTACGGCGCTTACACCGTTCTCATGAAGGCGAACCTTACTCGTGAGTGAGCAGCGCCGGATCCGAGAGACCTTGACCTGATACACTATATGCAGCATCGATCGTGTTTTCCTCCATGGTTGTATTCGACCTGCTGCGTGACCAGCTGAAGCTCGTTTCGCGCTTCACGCCACTCGTTGTCAAAGGTACATTGTCACGCATCTTTAGTCCTGAACCCAATCTCATTCCATCCTAGCCAAAGTCTCCCTGGACCGCGTCAACGCCTTTCTGCACACCGTATATTGCCCACTCTGTTTATGCTGCTTTGCGAGTACTGACTCTCATTCTCCACAGACTGAGCTTCTTGATGAGTACAGCGCACATCTCGAGAGTCCGACCAACGCTTCAGCGCCAGACGCCACCGTCCTCGGCATACGCAACGGACAGTTCACCTGGTCGTACGACGACACCCCAAACGGCATAAGCACCCCTTCATCCTTTCGTTTCTCTCTCCGCATCCCAGACGAGCTCATCTTCAAGCGCGGCGCATTCAACATAGTCGTCGGGCCTACTGGTTGTGGGAAGACGAGTCTCCTCATGGCTCTACTCGGCGAGATGCACTTCTCGCCGATGGGTCCAGACTCATGGGTCAATCTTCCCCGTGCGGGAGGTGTGGCGTATGCGGCGCAGGAGTCGTGGGTGCAGAACGAGACTATTCGGGTGCGTGTTGCGTTCAGTGGATGAGTACTTTGAAGCTGACGGCGTTGTACCCGACAGGATAACATCGTATTCGGTGCACCGTTTGACGAAGAACGCTACAACAAAGGTACGCTCCTCCTCAACCCACGCGTAACTTCGTCTGACTCGTCATAGTGATCTACCAATGCGGCCTCAAACGCGACCTCGAACTCTTCGAAGCCGGCGATAAGACCGAAGTCGGCGAGAAGGGCCTCACCCTGAGTGGTGGCCAAAAAGCGCGCGTTACCCTCGCGCGCGCTATCTACTCCTCCGCCGAGACGCTCCTCTTGGACGACGTCCTATCTGCTCTGGACGTTCATACTGCGCGCTGGATTGTTGATAACTGTTTCAAGGGAGATCTTGTGCGCGGACGTACGGTTGTTCTGGTGGTAAGCATGATGACGAGCTCTTTCAGTGGGCCGGCATGCTGACTCCCACGCGTCCTTAGACCCACAACGTCGCATTGGTCGGCAACCTCGCCGACTACGTCGTCTCGCTCAACAATGGCACTGTCGTCCACCATGGGAAGCCAGACGAGACGATCGAGAAGGATGAACTGCTCCTAGAGGAGGTCACCGAAGGCGTGGAGGTGATGGAGAAGGCTGATCAGGCCGTCGACGGCCATGTCCCCGAAGTCAAGGACGACTCGAACGCGGGCAAGCTTATCCTTGCCGAAGAGGTCGAGGAAGGTCGTATCTCGTTGTCTGCGTGTACGTGTTCAACTGCATCATTCACTCCTGATCGCTCATCGGCTTTAGGGAATATCTTCTTCGGTAACCTTGGTGGGAACCACAGCGTATCCTTCTGGGCAGTCTTCCTAGGGTTCCTTACTTTGAGTCAAGTATTGAGCTCCGGACAGTGCGTCGTTCTCTTCTTCGCTCAGATCGACTGTTTACCTGTCAACCTTCAGAGCATACTTTATGGGCGTTTGGTCAGAGCAGTACGATCGGCGACCTGCCAACGAGGTCAATGCTGCATAGTGTGTACGCCTATTTCACTCCGAGACCACGACTAACCATATTTGTAGCTACTTGGGCATCGTCGTGCTCATCCTATTCGGCTCGTGCCTTACATATGCCGGCGGCAACTACTCCTACATCTTCGGTATCATCCGCGCCGTTCGTGTCATTCACCGTGACTTGATCGAGTCGGTCTTGGGCACAACGCTACGGTACGCTCACTCCGGCCCTGCAAACGCCCTTCTTGACTGACAATCCTCGATTAGCTGGCTGGATACTACACCCGTATCCCGCATCATCACTCGCTGTACCCAAGACATCCGCGCTGTCGAGACGATCACAGCGCACGAGTTTCAGTTCTTGCTGGAAGTGACGCTCAGCATGATCATCAAGCTCGGCGCTGTAGTCATTCTCACGCCCATCTTTCTCATTCCGGGCGTCCTCGTCGCAGTGCTGGGTGGGTGGATCGGACAAGTGTATCTGGTATGTGGCTTGCGTCTTGGTGGATTGCGGGATGTTTACGTGTTGCTGTACAGGCTGCGAATATGTCCGTCATTCGGGAGATGAACAAGGCGAAGTCTCCCGTTCTGGGACACTTCGGTGCTGCTATTGCTGGACTGGGTATGCCACCCCTTCTAGCAGGGCTGTACGGAGGTGCTGATCATGCACAGTGTCTATTCGAGCTTACGGATCTCAACATGCATTCCACCTCGAGCTCCACAAGCGAATCGACCACTACAACCGGGCCGTTCGGACCATGTACAACGTCAACCGCTGGGTCGGCATTCGCATCGATGGGTGTGCTCTCGTATTCGAGGCTGCCGTCGCCGCCTATCTGGTGTATGGACCAGGGCACGAGAAGATCTTACCGTCTCAGGTCGGCTTCTCGCTGACTATGGCTGGTGAGTGATGAACTCACCATCTTGTCATCTCGTTGACTGATCATTTCTAGTCGGATTCAGCAGTCTCATTCTGTGGTGGGTGCGCATCTTCAACGCGATGGAGAGCAACGCCAACTGGTGCGTAGCGCGTCATTGGTCACATCGTGGCGCAGAAAGGTCTAACGATTTGTCAGTCTTGAACGCCTTCGCGCCTACATGACTATCGAGCAAGAGCCCAAACCCGTCGAGGAGAAGACGCCTCCCGCCTCATGGCCCTCGAGCGGCTCGCTCACTGTCGAAAAGCTCTCGGCGCGCTACTCTTCCGACGGACCCCGCGTTCTGCACGAGATCAGCTTCGAAGTGAAGTCCGGCGAGCGTGTCGGTATTGTCGGACGCACGGGTAGCGGCAAGATTTCCCTCACACTGTCTCTGCTCCGTTGCATCTTCAACGAGGGCTCGGTGTTCTACGACGGTCTCGACACGGCGAACATCAACCTCGACAGGCTTCGCTCGAGCATCACCATCATCCCGCAAGTGCCGGAGTTGTTGAGCGGTACTCTCCGTGAGAACCTGGATCCGTTCAGCGAGCACGACGATGCGACACTCAACTCGGCGCTCCGCGCTGCCGGCCTGTTCTCGCTGCAGAAGGACGACGATGAGAACCGGATCACGCTCGACTCGCAGATCTCTAGCGGAGGCGGGAACTTGTCCGTCGGTCAGAGGCAGATCCTTGCGCTTGCTCGTGCGCTTGTACGCGGGAGCAAGCTCCTGATTCTCGATGAGGCGACGAGCAGCATCGACTATGAGACGGATACCATCATCCAGAAGTCTCTGAGGAACGAGCTTGGTGGTGATGTCACCCTGCTCACCGTCGCGCATCGCTTGCAGACCATCATGGACGCGGACAAAATTGTACGTGCATTTAACTCTCGCTTTCGTCTGTCTTCGATACTGATGCACCCTAGATGGTTCTTGACGCTGGTCGCATCGTCGAATATGACGAGCCCGGGGCTCTGCTCCAGAAAGAGACCGGCTACTTCAAGGCTCTCGTTGATGAAAGCGGGGACAAGGAGGCGTTGTACACAATGGCGAGAATGAAGAGCGACTAATCAGTCCATTTTTTGTACTGTAGCACCGTGATTAATACACTGTCACTACTGATGCCTGTCTGCTATCACATTTTGCGACACTATGTTCTCCTTTAAAAGCCTTTGTCCTTACGCTCCCATACAATACGGCTCACGCCCTCACAGCGTCACGTCTTGCGCCTGACTCGGAGATCTCAGTGAGCACAAGCATCTTCCACCTCGACTCGTTCACAACATGTCGGGTTCCGGTACAAAGATGTCGAGGACGAGATGCGCCGATGACTTTCGTGGCCGGCCACTCACCAGTGCACTCCGGACGACAATTGGCTATAAGCAGTTGGCGCGTCCAAAACGACCGAGGTGGTGGTGATGACGGCGGCAAGTACGGCGATGATGCACGATTAAGACCCGTCCTCGAGGATAGAAGCCTGTGACGTAGCATACATGAGTTATGCTGTGTCATGACACGATATTTTATTCCGCACCATATTATCTTCGTCTATTAGCCGCTTTCCACCGCCTCATAACCCACCCATACCACCTCCGAGCAACTGCTGCATCCAACAACGTGCACACCAGCTTCAAGTTCGGCCTCAACTATGCGAAAAGTGCCGCTACAGCGGCATGGAAGGGTCCACGCATCCTCGAGCTCCTCGAAGTCATCCAAAGACACGAAATCGGCGGGACGCTGATTGGCAGTTTGACATTTCGATGACGCGAGCGATTGATCGTAGGCAGCTCGTAAGGTTGGATCAGACAGTACTTGATATGCTATGCGAAGCAAGTCAACGTCGATGCTACGTTCTGTTGATATCTTTCGTTTGTCGGGATGGTGGCGCAGGAGGGCGGCATGATATGCAGTTTTGATGGCGGCGGGGGTAAGCGTAGCCGAACGTGAAAGATCGAGTAAAGTGTAATGATCCATGGCTTCCTCAGCTTTTCAGGCCAGTGAAACATAGGGTGGTATGGGGCATAGAAGAATGCAGACAACGACGAATATCTGCTCGAGATGATGGAGGTGACGGACAAGCCTCTCAGGAATTTGCCGGCACTTCGGACCGACATCCAACTAATCGCCGACGTGTGCGTTTGGTGTTGATCGGGCGTCTTTCATGGAATGTCGTCATGACATTCGGTTATCTGCCCGGACTGGGGATATGCGGGCTGGAGGTTTACTACTTTTCATACCCATTCCGAGTAGCATACCCCGTTTAGCTACATGAGCGCGTTGAGGCTGGGCATAATGATATAGCTGGAGATCCGGTAACTCACATGATCGTGTCATATACAGAATTGGATATATCGGTTGATGGACGCCGGTCGCGCCCTTGGCCTTCCTCGTATTTCGTCCGGCGCGTGCGATGTGCGCCCGCTACACGACTTCCGGAAAGGGCTTGCGCGCTATCAGGCGTCGAGAGCCTCTTTATTTCGCGCCACCACGTCGGTCTGCACTCCCTGAGCCTTGCTGTACCGTGTCGCCCGAGCCCTCGGCAGAAGCTGTTGATTAGGCTTTCACGTCGGGCGTAGTAGCCCGCTTCCGCACCCTCCTCCTGCCATGAGCTCTTCTCCCTGGTTGTCCTGGAGGAGACCATGGTGGTTTGCGCTCGTATGTCTTCCGGCAGCGCTGGCTACCCAGCTTGAACAGGTGCGGTGTACTGTGCATTTTGGCAAAGTTATATACTCAATTAATCGATAGGGTTTCCTTTTTGACTGGAATCCTGCCGGTACAACCGTACCAGTACCTGTCACACGTACGTAGTGCATTCGTCTCAATCTTCAACAGCTGCTGAGAGTAGTTTAGAACAATGTGACACCATACACATAACGTGGAGTAGGAGTTCAGCAACTGGGTGCGCGCGCTTGATCTGCGAGACATGCATTTTCATCCTGACAGCCATGTAACAGGCCGAACCCTGTGGCACCTTATTATCTAGAGGTCTACACTTCGTGCGTCCATATCAACTGTTGGCACACTTCAATGCTGATGATGTGCACAGCGCGTTCATCGTACCCTTCCTTGTCGCGGCAGGTAGCGGTACATCCTTCGATTGGCAAGTACCATTCGCGCCCAACACCTTGTACCAAATATGCATGGTGCGTACTCCTGCTCGCGTCACATTCTGGTTATGTCTAACTCTGCTATAGTATGACTCAAAGGGTACAACTGGAGGCTGTCAAGATATCTTCACCGTCATCGCGAACACCACGACATCTTCACCATCTTGCGCTAATGTCACGTTCCCCGCTGGTGCAATGGACGTATCGGCGGAAGCATCCGGTGCCTTCTCGCAGTATGGCTGGATACCACAGGTGCGCAGCTATCTCTTCAATACACTGCGAAGCCGTACCTGATAACCACACGACTCGGCATCTTCTAGTGCTCGGGCATCTCTGTTACGCCGAAGAATGGCACTCCACCATATACCTTCACGGTCGCGCCGTCTTTACTACCCCCAATCAACATCACTTCGGATAGTAAGGACAATATCAGCTGGACGAATACATTACAGTGCGCAGTGTCTCTGGCGTATGCGCGCTGAGGGCGAACTGACGTGGTGCTTGCCCAGATATGGCATCTCCTACTTCATTTCTTTGGCGGACTCGGAAGGAAACCGATGGTCGCAGGGTCCATTGCATAGCAGTGGAGGTTCAAGCTCCTGTTTGGACGAGTGAGTACAAGGAATATACCACGTTGTGCTCAGCATTACTGATGGTCCTTGTTTCGAAGCTCCGGCAAGCCAATCGTGGCCATCGCTGTCGGCGCTCTGGTAGGCGGCATCGTTGCTGGAGCCGTCTTCGCTGGTGTCGGCTTCTGGTTCTACTCCCGTCGGCAAAAACGCTCTGCACCCTCAAGCGAGTTCTTGCTCGCCCACAACGCAGCCCGGAGCTCCCAGTATAGCCATCACTTCAGTGATCCCAGCCAGACGGATGCCAGCTTACCACTCGGTCCATACCACCAACAGTCAGCTTCAGGTCGCAGCATGAACTCACTGCCAGTATCAGCACGCAATCTGCCATACCAAATCGAGCCATTTACACTGTCTACCGCTCCGTCAGACGCACAAGTGCCGCTCCTGACTCGACCCACGTCGGACGTCCCCACGACGCCCATATCACCAGGCGCAGGAGGCGGCGCGGGTCACGAAGCAACTGGCTCCGAATCATCGAGAAGACAACATGTCTATGTTGTGCATCACGACGGCGGGGGGCCGCCTGTGACCGTCTACACCGACGATGGCGCTGAAATCACTGAGCTCCCGCCCACGTACGCTGATAATCGCGAGCGTGGACCGCGACAACGACGACAACCCGGGGAGACACCACGAAAACCTAGGCGAGGGAATACCTCCCAGCCTCCTGGTTGAACGGGAAGGGACTTCACTCACTCAGAATATGAGCGCTCTTCTAAGCGGAGGTTTGCCTAGGACCATCACTATCTGGTCCGCTATACCTTACTAGCTTGTTCACATACTATATTGCTGCATTTGTATACCCTCCAATCTTACTAATCCCACGGTCGTGCAACTTGCCCACACGAGATAGAGAGCCAGAAAAGCAGGGCACCCTACATTGAGTGTTGCAAGTCAGTGTTACCAGCGAGTAGCACACGGCCATCACACCACTTGTCGTGAAAGGTACAGCATCACCCCGCTTCGGCACTCTTCGCTCCATCTCATTGTCTTACAGCGAAGGTCTGCCTCGATCGCGTCAACGCCTTCCTGCACACCGTACGTTGCCTGCCCTATCTGGTGATCACCGACTCTTATTCTCCGCAAACTGACGTTCTAGACCAGTACAGCGGCCAACTGGAGACTCCGACCAGCCTCTCAGCGCCGGATGCCACCGTCCTCGGCATGCGCATCGCACAATTTACCTAGTCGAGCGACGACACCCTCGACGGCACAAGCACCTTTTCACCCTCTTATTTCACCCTGTGCATCCCGGACGAGCTCATCTTCATACGAGGTGCGCTCAACATGGTCGTCGGGCTCACCGGTTGCGGGAAAACGAGCTTGCTCATGGCTCTACCTGGTGAGATGCACTTCTCGCCGGCGGATCCAGACACATGGGTTAATCTTTCCCACATCTGACCTTCCTTATAGTTATCTGGGCATCGGTGTGCTCATCCTCCTCGGCTCGTGCCTGACATATGCTGGCGGAAACTGCTCTTACATCTTCGTTATCATCCGCGCCGTGCGGGTGACCCATCGGGATCTCATCGAGTCTGCCTTGGGCACAACACTACGGCGCGCTCACTATGGTGCTGCGAATGCCCTTCTTGAATAACGCTCCTGGTCAGCTAGCTGGACACCACACCCTAACCCGCATCATCACCCAATGCACCCCAAGACACTCGTGCTGTCGAAACCGTTACGGCGCATGAGTTTCAATTTCTGCTTGAAGTAACGCCCAGCATGATCATCAAGCTCAGTGCTGTAGTGATTCTCACTCCTATCTTCTTGATTCCGGGTATCGGCTAGGTGTATCTGGTGTGTGATGTGCGCGTCGATGGATTGTAGGAGGTTGAGGCGCTACACGCCGCGAACATGTCCGTCATTCGGGAGATGAACAAGGCGAATTCTCCCATGCTTGGTCACTTCGGCGCCGCTATCGCTAGACTTGGTATGCTACAACTCTTATCGAGAGCCGTTGATAGCCCTTGTAGTGTCCATCTGAGCGTACGGATCTCAACGCGCCTTCCATCTCGAGCTTCACAAGCGAATCGACCACTATACCGAGCTGTTCGCACCATGTGCAACGTCAACCTCCGGGTCGGCATTCACGTCGACGGATGTGCCCTCGTATTTGAGGCTGCCGTTGCCGCACACCTGGTGTATGGACCAGGACATTAGAATATCATACCGTCTCAGGTCGGCTTCTCACTGACTATGGCTTGTAAATCGATCTCGCTAACTGGCCAATCCCAGTCGGGTTCAGCAGTCTCATTCAGTGGCGGGTACGTATCTTCGACGTGATGGAGAGCAAGAGAATATCGTCATAGCCTTCGGTTCCTTGCCCGAGCTCTCATCCAAGTGGCAGATTCAAGTTCTATACCTTGTCTATACCTGCTCGAATAGGGTGTGTCCTACGGTATGGGCGTTTCCCGATGGAGGTTCGGGAACTCACATGATCGCGTTATACGCTTTTGGATATCGCGGTTGATGGACACCGGTTGCGCCCTTGGCCTCCTCATACTTATATCATCTGGCGTGTGCGATGTGCGCCCACTGCACGACTTCCAGAAAGCCCGTACGCTATAAGCGCCCGGACCGACTTGTCCTCTCACCATCACGTTCTGCCCTTGCAGAGGATCGCGGTACTGTGATCAGCGCGCTGTCAGGCTTTCACGTCGGGTGTATTAGCGCATTCTCCTCTTGCCATGAGCACGCTTTGCTTGTCAACATGGAGGAGAACGTGGAGTCTTGCGCTTGCTATTCTTCCGGCCGTGCTAGCCACGCAACTCGAGCAGGTGCGTCATGCTGTGCATCCCGAAGAGGACGTCTACCTAATTAGTCTCTAGGGCTTCCTATTTGACTGGAATCCTGCCGGGACAACCGTGCCGGTACCTGTAACGCGTGCGTAATGCATTTTTCCCAGTCTTCAGCGATAACTGAAGGAGGTTTAGAACAATGCGACACCATACACATAACATGGAGTAGAAGTTCAGCAACAGGGTGCGCGCGCTTGATCTGCGAGACATGCATTTTCATCCTGACAGCCGTGTGAAAGTCCGAACCCTGTGGCACCTTATTATCTAGAGGTCTACACCTCGTGGGTACTGCTAACTGTCGATCAACTCTGATACTGATCATGTGCATAGCGCGTTCATTGTACCCTTCCTTGTCGCGGCAGGTAGCGGTACATCCTTTGATTGGCAAGTACCATTCGCGCCCAACACCTTGTATCAAATATGCATGGTGCGCACAATTAACTACCTCACACTCCGGCAATGTCTAACTCCGCTCTAGTACGACTCGAAGGGCATCACTGGAGGCTGTCAGGATATTTTCACCGTCATTGCGAACACCACGACATCTTCACCATCTTGCGCTAATGTCACGTTCCCCGCCGGCGCAATGAACGTATCTGCGGAAGCCTCCGGTCCCTTTTCGCAGTATGGTTGGATACCCCAAGTGCGTGACTAACTCCACAACTCACCGCGAAGGTCTATCTTATAAGCATACGACTTGCCATCTTCTAGTGCTCGGATATCTCTGTTACGCCGCAGAATGGCACACCACCCTATACCTTCACGGTCGCGCCCTCACTGCTACCCCCATTCAACATCACTTCAGACAGTAGGGGCACTATCAGCTGGACAAATACTCTGCAGTGCGCAGTGTCTCCGTTGTGCACAACGAAAGCTGACTGACGTGATGCTTGCGCAGATATGGAATTTCATACTTCATCTCCTTGGTGGACTCTAAAGGAAACCGGTGGTCACAAGGTCCGTTACATAGTAGCGGAGGCTCGAGCTCTTGTTTACACCAGTGAGTGGGATGAATGCGCTTTAATATTCTCAGCGTTACTGACGGCTCTTCAACGAAGCTCCGATACACCAACCGTGGCCATCGCTGTCGGTGTTCTCGTAGGCGGCATAGTTGCTGGCGCTATCTTCGCTGCTGTCGGCCTCTGGTTCTACTCCCGTCACCAACGACGCTCCGCACCCTCAAGCGAGTTCTTGCTCGCTCGCAATGCAACACGAAGCTCCCAGTATAGCCATCACCTCGGTGATATGAGCCAGGCAGACGCGAGCTCACCGCTGAGTCCGCACCGCCAACAGACAGCTTTAGGTCGCAGCATGAACTCCCTCCTAAGATCAGCACGCAATCTACAGCACCAGATCGAGCCATTCCCACTCCCTACGGCGCCCTTAGACGCACAGGCGCCGCTCCTGACTCGACCCGGACTAAACGTCCCTACGTCGCCCATATCACCAGGCGTAAGAAGCGGCACGGGTCACGAAGCGACTGACTCCGAATCGAGAAGACAACATGTCTATGTTGTGCATCACGACGGCGGGGGCCCGCCTGTGACCGTCTACGCCGCCGACGTTGCTCAG